AATTCTCTGAAATTTTCAGAGTGGTAAAATTTTTCTTTCTATTTTTTTTTTTTAATGAAAAAAAAAATTTTTTTTTAAATGTTTGTTTTTCGTTATACCACTCTGAAAAAAAATAGAAAGAAAAAGTTTACCACTCTGAAAATTTTAGGGAATTTGCAAAAAATACTGAAGTTTTTTATAAAAAAGAAAAATTGAAAATCAAAAATGTCAATCATCCCGAAATTTTCGTTTTTTTTTTCCAAAAAGTTAAAAAAAACATTGAATATGAATCTGAATTATTATTTTTATTTTTTTTTTTTTAAAGTACATTTAAAGACAAAAATTTTTAAAAAAAAAACATCCCAAAAAGTCATTTTTCAAAAAAGTTATGGTTATTTAACAAAAAAAAAGCCGTTTTTTTGTAATAACTTGTAACTTTTTTTTGGTTGGGTAAAAAAATTTGAAAAAATTCTGAAAATTGTTTTCAATAGGGTAGAGAAAGATACCAAAATTTCAGAAAAATCGAAAAGGGTCGGTGTCAAAAGTGGTCGATTTGGCATGGAATGCCCCATATATATATATATGATATTTCTGATATTTGTGAAATATATAAAATATATAAAAAATTGATGTGGGTACTCAAATGAAAGCTCTTGATGAGTGTAACATCGGGATGAGTTTATATCTTTAAAAACGTCAATAATTAAGAAAGTACAGTGCAACTTAACAAAAGTCATTATTTAATAAAGCAAAATTTTATTAATAATTCACAAGTCATGGCAGTCACGTAGTGACTGCAAAGTTGCTAGTAATAATTAAAAATATTTTTAAACAGGTATAGTACTAACAAATAACTTTTTTACTTCTTAAATAAATTTCGCTTTACGTAAGAATTTTTTTTTAAGCAATTTTTATTTTAAAAAAATGTTAAGCTTTCTAAAATGTTATTCTTAATCTTAAATAATAAGATTGAAGCAAAAAAGTGACATTTTTTAGACCTTGCGCTATTTATAGAAAAATATTAAAAAATTCCTTGATCTCAAAAAAAAAAAAAAAAAACAACTTTTAAAAATCACGAAAATTTTTGGAATAAAATTTTTAGAGTAAAATTTGCAAGATCATTTACGAAACACAAACTTATATTTAATTTTTTATATGAGTAATTTTGTCAAAACCTTTCAATAGAAATAATTTGTCAAGATAACTGAGTCACCTACAGTATTACTCCAAAATAAAAAGTGTCTTCAATATTGAATAAATATTAAAAATATAGACTTGAAAAAAATAATTATTAACGACATTAAATTTAACAGTCACTTAATAATTTTTTATTTTTTTTTTTAACAAACAAATTTGCTCCAAAAAATTATTTTTAAAAAATTGCATATCAATTTTTTTTTGCCATAATTTATTTGTTACAAAAATTATTAAATATCTGCTTAAGAAAGTACGTGGCAAAAAATAAATAATTTATAGAAGAAATAATAAAATTAATAACCTCTAAAATAAAAATTTTTAAAGAGTAAAAAATTAAATACAATTTTAAAATAATTGAAAGAGTTTTTATAAATAAAAAAAAAAAAATACTTACAGAATTTTAAAACATTATATAATTAATAATCCAATTTTTCGTTTGATATTTTTGGATATTACGTTGATATAATTATCGATAACTTGTCGGTTGTTATTTACAATTATAGTTGAAGATGGAGTAATAAATATTTAACAATTACTGACAAACTGACATTTCACTCCATGACGATAAACCTGTTGGAAAATAAATCTTTGTTATTAACTTTTTCAATAGACAGATGGATGAAATTTATTCATCGTGTTATTACTAATGCAACAACACGACACATAACACATATCATTACTTTGTGTAATTGTGTGTAATAATATGAAAAATAGTTTCAGTTATTTATATATTGTTTTTGTTGTGAAAGTGATTATTGTAAATTGCTTACACTGTATATACACTGATCCAGGATTTTAAAGGAACAGAAGTCTGCTAGTGCTGCTGATGATGAGGCGGACATTTTCACTGCACATGAGCGCCATTTGGAAACACTAACTAAGCGCGGGAATATTTGAAATCCTTAAGGAGGTTCAAGTGTAACTTATGAGTCAAAATAATGTTTAAATTTTTTTTACCTTCAGTCTTCCCAATATTCGTCAAATTTCTATAATACTAAAGTTAGCCGACGATTTTAATTTTTTGATTTTTTTTTAATAATTAAATTAAAACAAAAAAATATTTTTAAAAAATTGCACTTACAGTTTTTAAAGTTTTTTACAAGTGAAATTTTTTTTTTATTTTTTTAAATCATTTTTTCAATAAAAAAAAAAAAATTCTAAAAATTTTTAAATGTCGGCCAACTTAATTTTCGTCAAATTTCTTTATTTTAATTTAAAAAAATTTGAACAATTTAATAATTGACGATTTTTACTTATTTAATTAAATAAAGTATTATTTATTATTAATTATACTTATTATTATTATTATTATTATTATTATTATTATTATTATTATTATTATTATTATTATTATTATTATTATTATTATTATTATTATTATTATAATAGCAGAGCGACCGGCAACTTAGATCTCGGATGTGTCAGAATGCGCGGGAGACTAACGCAATGACGCGTACGTTCTAGAAACTGACTTCTGCGCACGTCAATTTAGTTTCTTGCGCATGGCATGATCCGAGCGTTTCTCGGATGTCGTACTACGCAGCAGCAGTTTCTTAAACGTCAACCGACCGCCATTACAGTGACAGTTAACTTCGCGACAAGTGTTTTAAATAAATTAATTAAATGTTTTTACGCTGACATTTATTAAAATTTTCGGATAAAATAAATCTTTAACATCCGTGTAATGTAAAGTGATAATAATTTTCTCGGTGCGCGGAAAATAAATAGTAAAAAGTCGGTCGTTGTTTTTTCCTAAAATCGCTGACAGGAACTAACCGGCTTTCGTCGTAATTCGTATTATTTATTAATTATTTGAAGAAATAAATTTGAAAATTAAATTAGCCGACATCGAAAATTTATTACAATTTTTTTTATTGAAAAAATTATAAAAAAAAAATTTTTATTTGTAAAAAGCTTGAAAAAAACTATGAGTGCAATTTTAGAGTAATATTTTTTAGTTCTAATTTAATAAATAAAAAAAAAAATTAAAAATGTCGGCTGACTAACTTTGGTATTATGAAATAAATACATTTTAGTTTTTATTGTCAAGTTTTTAGTGGAAAAAAAAAATTTCGTAGTTTGTTTTTTGTTTTTGCGGTAGTTCTTAATCACGCGTTTTGCTGCAATTTTCTGATGTCAAAAATAAACGTTCAATTGTTTATTTTTTCCATGGTATTTATAAATTTTTATTATTGTTAAAAATGGACATTTAGAAATTTTAATAAATTATGCAATTTTTTTTTAAAATAATTTTTCGGAACAAATTTTTTTGTTAAATAAAATTAAAGTTAACTTTAATATCATGATAAAAAAAATTAAAAAATTTCACTGTTATAAATTTTAACAAATAAAATAAATATTAATTTTTTAAATAATTATAGAAAACAGATGTTAATTTTAATGAAAATGAAGTTAGCCGACAATTCAAAATTTTTATAAATTTTTTATTGAAAAATTTCAATTAAACAATTAAAAAAAAATATCATATGTTAAAAACTTAAAAAACTATAAGTGCAATTTTTTGTAAATATCTTTTTAGCTGTAATTTAATTAAAAAAAAAAAATCAAAAATTTTTAGACGTCTGCTGACTTCAGTGTCATTAATTTCAAAATTTTTATTTAATTAATTTATGAAGTCAAAAAATTTTTTAACAATATTTATTTCATTACAGGTGATAAAAAAAAAATGAAGATTCTCAAAATAGAAAAAACAAAAATAATCCGGATGTTAAAATCAAATGGGACCCAAAGGTAATAGCAATAGATATAAACATCAGTGTCTAATTCTTAAAACACAAAACATCAAAGCGTGTTCTATTTTTACAGTAAAAACTTGAACGTCTTCGGTGATCTCCGTCTTGGTCTTGCTGTTGATCATTATCTTGGTCTTTGTCGTGCACACTATTAACAAATTCTTGTAAACTACACTTGAGCATACCCTGGACGGGCTTTTTAACTGGGCGTTGGTGGCGCTGATTTCTTGTACCGCCACGAGCTTTTACATTTTAGTATTTAGCTTTTAGTTCTCCCAGTTTCTTAGTCTTGTGCGCAGCATATTTTTTAAAAATTTATTATTTGTTTTCTTCACTGGATTATTTTTTAAACTTTATTTTTTTTTTTTTATAAGTGACTTGTGGCTTATTGTAATTAAATCCTGGTTTTCAGTGAAGTTTATTAAGAATTTAATAACGGTGAATGATAGATTCAAATATGGAAGTGTCGGAAACATCAAATGAAAATGACGTCGATCAATCGACGGTTAACAATAATGATAATGGTAATGAGGATAGTAATGACGAAGACGGTGATAGTGAAAATTTAGAAATGGTCCAGGATGTTAAGGAAGATGTTGACGTTAAAATTGAGCCCAAGGAAACTATTCTTGATGAAGATGGGTCTACCGTTGAAGAAACTTATGAAATTACTACTACTAGACGTAAAACTACAACTACTACCTACAAAATTCAAGAAGTAAGTTTTTACAGTTCAATCAAAATTTTGGAAAATTTTTTTAATTCCTGATAAAATTAATTTAAAATAATTTTTAAAAAATTACTTTTGATCAAAAATAATTTTTTTTTTCATCAAAATTTTGTGGCCAGTGTATTTAAATGATAAAATGGGTTTTTATGGTTTAATTTGGTATCTTTGGAAAAGTCTAGACCCGTAGTTATGCATTTTCATGGTTTCATATCATTCTCACCAATATTTAATTTATGATGATAAGTATTCAGGCTGCATTTGAAAATTCTCTATCTCTAGATACATAATCAAGAAATGACCTTGTATCTCGTAAACTATTGACATTTTTAAATATATAAGCTCACCCTGACATTACACTCATCGAGACCTTTCATTTGAGTACCCACATCAATTTTTCATATATTTCATTTATTTATATTTATCATATATATGTATTTATGAAAAATATATCAAAAATGCAAGTGGGTACTCAAATGAAAGCTCTTGATAAGTGTAACATCGGGATGAGCTTATATCTTTACAAATATCATAAATTGAGAAAATACAACATTATTTCTTAATTATTGACATTTTTAAAGATATAAGCTCATTCTGATGTTATGCTCATCGAGACTTTTCATTTAAGTACCTACATGAATTTTTTATATATTTTATATATTCTGATATTTCTGATATTAGTGAAACATATAAAATATATAAAAAATTCATGTAGGTACTCAAATGAAAGCTCTTGATGAGTGTAACATCAGGATGAGCTTATATCT